TTTTTTTTTTTTCACTGATCCATTAATCACGCCGAATGATAGAGAAAATATAACGATTTTCGCAACCAATTTGCGATTTGCATGTTGAAAGATTTTTGCTATTCATCGAGTTACTAGTTTTTTGTATATGTATCGTTGGGATATAGAAAGTGCGTATTAAGGAATGCGTAGTAGTCACATTGGCATGTCATTTATAAATAATCAGTAAATCAACCATAGGCAGGTATCGTGAATTTTAGCAGGGAGTGTAAATACGAACTTCATTTTCAAACAGGCATAATGTATATTTTTCAAAGCTTATATCACCGAATGAGTTTTTGAAAACAACAACAACAACAACAACAGCGTTACGGCTCTGTTTCACGTTCGGAGAATCAAATTATCAGACGGCCTCATAACGGAAGAGATGAATAGTGTACAATAGTTACCCCTGATAATGTATTTTCTATCACCCATACATTCTCGGCTGTATTTTGGGGGGTAACTATTCTAAATATTAAAACATAACCCTTCACTATTTCAAAACAAATTTGATTGCCGGAGGTCGGTATATATATATATATATATATATATATATATATATATATATATATATATATATATATATATATATATATATGCATATATGTGTGTGCGTGTGTGTGTGTGTGTATGTATATATATTGTAACACTTGGGTATGCATAGAAGAAACATAACCCTTCACTATTTTAAATTAAATTTGCCGGATGTTAGTATATATATATATATATATATATATATATATATATATATATATATATATATATATATATATATTGCACCGCTTGGGTATGGACAAAAGAAATAGAGAAACTGTAACTAGTTTTCCCTTTTCCTGACCTTTTGCCCGTGCTTCTTATTACATAATACAAAGCAAAAGAACAATTGTTTTTGAATTCGCTCAAGGCTGACCAACTCTGCTTTAGGATAGTTCCCCCTTAAATATCACAGAGAACGCACATAAGGGTAATTCAGTCTAGACGTAGATTTAAGTGAAATGATATATTGTTCTTTCGAAACTAATGTACACTTCTGCGGGAAATAGGGTTTTTCTTTTTAATACTGTTGACATTGATACTGTCATTATTGCTATTTGATGTTATAATTATTTAATTGTTATGAAAATCTCGATAACATTTAAGATAATGAAATAATGCACAAGCCCCTTTCCAAAAATCGAGGAAAAAGATAAACAGGTGAGATAGGTAGGACTAATAACCGACTCCTTGGTGACTAAGCACTTGTAGAGCCATCTATGTGTAATTACAATACATAAACTTGTATTACATTGGGCATGGCACGTATTCTTGCCATACGGGTTGACAGGGTTAATGTTCTTCACAATAAATATCGCAAGCAGAGTTCTTTGACCGTATCCTAGGATTTCGTAACTGCGGAACTCCGTCGTGAGTACGGTCGTAGGTGGTTTGAAGCCTATTTCGATCTCAAGGAGGCATTTACCTCGGTGCACCGCGAATCGCTATGGGAATTCCGATACGGATTATTGATTTAATTAATTCTTATTAACATCATGTAGTTGACTGATGTTCACTACCTTTTTTGATGGCATGGTATATAGCTACTGACTCGGCATCAGTTGTGCTTGCCCTGTTGGAAATTCGTACACTTTCTTTAAGAGAAATGTCAGGGATTAATTCACCAGTCCCAGCTGCTCATTTTGTAACCTTGCTGCGCCGAGCATTGGGGGTGTGCTTCATGCATGAAAATAACTGTTTACATTGATATTTACATCCAAATACTGGTAGCAATGCAAAAGCTACTTTCTTCATGCAAATGAAGTGATCACACAGTGATGTCTAGGTACTTAATATGGAGGCTGCATGGTCATTCGTATTAGTTTCCAATATTTCTCGTTTTTTTTTTTTTTTTTTTTTTTTTTTTTTTTTTATTCTGTTAGAGTTTTTTCTTCGCTACTTCGAATCACGTGGTGTGCAAAGGCAAGCACTCTGCGTGCCAAAGGTCGCTGATCCCTGAGGTAGTGTATAAAAAGATGAAAAAAGGCTTTTAAACAAAATACTTAAAAAGTCAATCGAGGTCCTTAACCTTGCATAGAATAACTGCTCAAGAGGAAAAAAAATACTTTTGTAGATCTGAAATATTCGTCTTTGAGAAAAAAATGGATTTAATTATATCCACTTTTTATTCAAAACTTAAAGAGATATTACTTGTTACCTGGATCATCGCATCGCTAATATTATTTTACCTTATCTGCACTGAACCACCGTGAAAAGGGCTGTTTATATTTATGTGAAATTTTATATTATTGTGTGTTTTTTTTTATTGAATTTCCAAAATTTTCCCACATTTTTTTCTTTACTTTATGGACTGTCATTTAACTGCAATCGTTGATAAACTTATATGAAAAAAATGTATACGTGTACACACACACACGCACACACACACACACACACACACACACACACACACACACACACACACACACACACACACACACACATATATATATATATATATATATATATATATATTTATATGCATTGGTGATGGCACGAATATGAATACGGCAGATGCAGAATATATCTGTAGGATCAAAAAAACAAAAATCAAACTTGAGGCCTTTACTTGCTTATTCTATAGCTCCTGTCTTCCTCCCAAATACTGGGATGCCACGGCGGATCAACCAATTGATCATTCCGTTTTATGAATGAAAAACATATATATATATATATATCTATATATATATATATATCTATATATATATATATAGATATATATATATATAGATATATATATATATATAGATATATATATATATATAGATATATATATATATACATATACACACATACACATGTAGTTCGTCAAACACTGCATTGGTGATGGCACGAATATGAATACGGCAGATGCAGAATATATCTGTAGGATCAAAAAAACAAAAATCAAACTTGAGGCCTTTACTTGCTTATTCTATAGCTCCTGTCTTCCTCCCAAATACTGGGATGCCACGGCGGATCAACCAATTGATCATTCCGTTTATATATATATGTGCATGTGTAACTGTGTATGTGTGTGTGTGTGTGTGTGTATGTGTGTATGTGTGTGTGTGTGTGTGTGTCTGTGTATGTATTTATTTCTATAATAGATACTTTAAAATAGATATATCACTTATGAAATAGATAATTATCATTCGTGTTATCTTTCAAGATGAAAGTCTCACCTTGTCTCAGGCTATACGACCAAGTGGCCGTATAGCCTGAATTGGCGATCGCGGATTGTGCAAGTAACAGGTCCTGTACCGGTCTCACGGTGCAACCGTTGGTTGGACACATGGTCCTGCCAACTGTACCCCATGATCTGGTGCAAGTATCTGTTACAAAAGGCATCAAGACGAAATTCTAAAGCACAATATAGCATTCAGGTTTCACTACCATAAGTAAAACTGGCAGTATCAGGACCTTGAAGACACGTAGCTTGGTCCTTCTGCACAGGTACCGGCATCTCCAAATACTCTTGTCGAGAGTATTTACCAGGCCAATCCGTATACTGACTTCCTGGTCTGACAGCCCGGAGTCATGAACTGCACTACCGAGGTATATAAAGCTCTCTGTGACCTCGATGATTTCACAAGGTCTCTTAGTAGGCCCCCAAAATCTTGGTCTTGGTCCATGAGACCTCTAGCCCCAGGGTCTTCGCTTCATTGCTAAATGTATCACTAGGGTTTCTAGAGATTCAGAAAGAATAGCAACATCATCAGCAAAGTCAAGGTCGGTAACCTTGATATTGCTCAGAGTTGCTCCACAGTGACTTTGGACAGTAGCTCTACCCTGTGTGTGTATACATACATATATATATACATATATGTATATATGTACACAGGTATATGTACATCCATATGTATATATACATATACATATGTATATATATACATATACACACATACACATGTAGTTCGTCAAACACTGCATTGGTGATGGCACGAATATGAATACGGCAGATGCAGAATATATCTGTAGGATCAAAAAAACAAAAATCAAACTTGAGGCCTTTACTTGCTTATTCTATAGCTCCTGTCTTCCTCCCAAATACTGGGATGCCACGGCGGATCAACCAATTGATCATTCTGTTTCATGAATGAAAAACATATATATATATATATATATATATATATATATATATATATATATATATATATGTTTTTCATTCATGAAACGGAATGATCAATTGATATATATATATATATATATATATATATATATATATATATATATATATATATATATATATATATGTACACATAATTTATACACACACACACACACACACACATATATATATATGTATATATATATATATATATATATATATATATATATATATATATATATATATATATATATATATATACATACACACACACATATGTGTGCGTGTGTGTGTATGTGTGTGAGTGTGGGTGTCTATCGTAAGAAGATAAACAAAGGTCTGCACTTTTGTTGCTCTCAGAAGCAGAAATACGTGGATAGAAAAAAAAAAATAAAAATAAAGATAATTTCTTTTAGTCTTTATGAAAACCTCTCCGAGAAATCTGAACTGAAGAAAGAAATATAGACAACAAATCTCCTTGGTATTGGATTATATGCGCTGATGTATTTCAGAAACTCTTGCGAAGCCTCTGTCAGTTCAGGGTGGTCACTCCTTTACCAGAATGTCGACAAGGAAAGGGAAAGAGGGTGACTAAATACAGATAAATACTTTTATTTGCAACAAGTAGATATTTAGAGTTTATACAGTTTGTTACAGAAGTTACATTATGTATATTCATAGATAGACATATGCATATATCAATATATATAAGTATACACACACACACACACACACATATATATATATATATATATATATATATATATATATATATATATATATACATATATATATATATATATATATATATATATATATATATATATATATATATATATATATATGATAAGCTAAG